ATTGGCCGAGCACAGCAAGGCATCCTATGTGACGATGACGTAGCCGGTACCTCAACGCCAGAATACATGGCGCCGAGGTCAGCGCCAAGATCTGTGGCACTGATAGATCTTGGCGTCGAGCTCGACGCCACAAATCTTTCAGCCTATTCGTTTCATCGTAAACGATCGTGGATTATTTACTGCTGGCTAATTTGATGTAAAGAGAAAATATTATTTTAGCTTATAATCTACGATTATATACAAGCACGCGAAACAGGCTCCTGGGCGCCTACCTCGGGCGCGCGCGGCAATCCCATTACGGTCTCTGCTTTACCGCGCATCGAGAACACACACTGCCGTGTGCCGTCCTACTCCGGTAGCCGTGCGCCTTGCCACTTGCGATGGGACGGTGCTGTCTCTGGCGATGTGTTGATATGGATTCAGTGCGGCTCCATCACGAGGGCCCCGTGCCGAGTCGTGCGCCGCGTGTGTGCGGGTCTTCTGCCTGGTATGGTGAGTCACAATCAGGTGCTGATCCCGTCGTCGTCTGTGACATCATTATTAGGGGCTGATTATTAGTGCAACATGTGTGGAAGCGCTGCATGTGAGGTTAATCTGTTGTGTGTGTGTGTGTATATATATATATATATATATATATATATATATATATAAAATAATTAATTAATTAACGACGACTCGCGTTGCGCCGTTTATTCTGACATATATGTTCGATCCTCGTAAGTGCTTGCATGTTGCTTAATCTGTTGCTTCCACACATATATATATATATATACGACTATATATATATATATATATATATTCCATCATATTCATATATATAATCTCGTGCTTATCGGTACGACTAAACCGTATGCGCCGTGTTATTTTGACATCTATTCTTTGATCCTCGTAAGTGCTTGGCCGTTGCTTGCAAAAATGTTTCACAACAAAAAAATAGTGTATGACTTAATATTTTTGCGGTTTAAGAGTGAGATTATATAAAATTCCATCATAGCTATTAATATCTTCTAGATAATATAATTATACAAAACACAACTAGATAATAAAATTATCGCTAATAAAAAAACCGAGCCGGCCCCTAAGTATAATTCTCGTTTAGTCATCTAAATCACTGGCTCGCATCTTCTTTGGTTCAGACAGCAGCTTGATGGGTTTTATTGTTGCTACTCGTGCAATCAAATGGAAGAGAATGTAACGTTAGGGGAAAAATGTTTTGTGACTTATTTTTGCACTCATCAGTTTTTTTTTCACATCAGTTGATGGTTCAGACAGCAGCTTGATGAGCTTTCGTTACCATGTTGCACGCACATAATCAGCCCCTAATAATGATGTCACGGACGACGACGGGATCAGCCCCTGGTTGTGACTCACCATACCAGCAGTCAGAAGACCCGCACACACGCGGCGCACGACTCGGCACGGGGCCCTCGTGATGGAGCCGCACTGAATCCATATCAACACATCGCCAGAGACAGCACCGTCCATCTCACGTCGCAAGGCGCACAACTACTGGAGTAGGACGGCACACGGCAGCGGGCGGGCACACGGCAGTGTGTGTTCTCGATGCGCGATAAGGCAGAGACAGTAATGGCATTGCCGCGCGCGCCCGAGCTCGACGTCAAGATACGTGGCGTCGACTTTAGCGCCATGTATTATGGCGTCGAGTTATTAGCCACATCAATACCATCTAGAATGCCCTGCTGTTTTCGATCAGATATCTCTGGAGTCAAGATCTATGGCACCGAGACGTGTTACCTCAGCGCCATGAGTCGTGGCGCCGACCCCCAAGGTCCAAATATGAGTTTACATCTCTCGGGGGGTCAAACATAAATTTTCTTCAAAAAAAGGTCAAATTATAAAAAAATTAGGTACCAAGCCACAAAGGAAAAGTGGGTAGTGACATGCCTGATGTGCTTAAATCAGAAAACAATGTAGGGAAACGAACAAACACATTCTATTTTCAATTATTAGATTAAGTATACTTCTCTTCAATATAACTGTTCAAATTGCTTGCAGGAAAAGGAATATGTTAGCAAAAACAAACATGGAAATACGACTACACCCAGCAAAAAGAAAAAACACATAGAGAAAGAAAGTCCATTAAAAAGTCAAACAAAGAGGTAATCCATAAAAAAAGCATCATCTTATGTTATATTTTTTGGTGCACATATCAACAATTCAGAGATGATGTAGACAAATAATTCAGCTTCACTGGTATTTCCAGGAAACCTAATAAGTTCTTATCATTTCAGGTAAATTGAATGAAGTAATTTTTATTTAAACATATATTAAATATGGTTTTCTATTGCTTAAGTATCACAAAATTAGCCCATACGAAAGAATCTAACCCGTGCAATGGACTAGTATAAAGAAAAGAGAAAAAACTAAAGAAGTGGGCAGCGTTAGTCGTGATGCATGGCTATGGGAACATTTGACGAATTCACAGCCTAGATTAGAGTACTACACCGTATACATGATAGACTCGTAGACAGAGCGAGTACGGGCAGCAGAATGACAAAATCTCGCAGCTCGCACACGTGGCTTATTTTATAATTCGTATTTTTTAGCTTGTCTTTTTAATCGAAATAATGTTTTTCTTTCATAATAAATCAATCGAAATAGTATTTTAACTTATTTTTTTCAGCGAAGCGAAGGAGCCACAGTTAATGAAGACGAGGAGATGGAGCCGTTGGCGCGGGGGGTTTGCGATCCTGCGGCGCGTACCGCCGCGACAATCATACGCGACCATGATCCTCTCTCTTCCTTTCCGCCTCTTCCTCTCATGCACCTGCTGACCCGCACAAGATCGAGAGAAACAAAAGGCAAGGGGATATCCATATCCTAGCGGCAAGCTGTAGGCCAGTATCCATGGGATGGGATGGGATGGGTGGTTCAAGAAAAGGTCTCTGCGTTCCCACACGCACACACCTCGAGAACATAAAGCGGTCGCGGCTCGCGGCGGCGAAAGTGACAGGCAAGATGGTGATGGCGAAACCAAAAGGATATTTGGAGATTACAAATTTTTGCAACCTGGCCACCTATAGTATGTTTCGTTTGTATTTGATAAACTTTGTCCGATCATAGACTAACTAGGCTTAAAAATCCATCTCGTAATTTACAACCAAACTGTGTAATTAGTTATTTTTTTTACCTATATTTAATGCTCCATGTATGCGTCTAAAAATTGATGTAATGGAAGAGAGTGAAAAAACTTGGAATTTGGAGGTGATCTAAACAAGGCCTTGTATCTGCTTGCTCGAAATGAAATGCAGATGGTGCCAAAGTACGGTCGAGCAATCATTTTGTATCTTCTTTTTGACCCGAGAGGATTTTCTTTCTTTCTTTTTCCTTTTGAAAAACTTTGCATGTTTACTCGTTTGTTCGTTTTTTTTTATCAAAATTGGTCAAATGGAGGTGCAGTGAGCCGGGACCGGGATGGGGTCTTGATGAGCCGATGAGGTTTGCTTTCTCCCGTTCTTCATGTCCTTTTGAGTTTTATTTTGAGTTTTAAGAGCAGGCGGCAGCAGCAGCAGCAGCACTGCAGCATGTAGGGCCTGGTTCTGGTAGCAGCAGTACGTACTACAGGGCACTGAACCACATGCCTCGGCCTGTGCTAGGTCGCTCAAAATCAAACCTAATGATGCCTAATTGCCCTTTTTATATCCGACTACAGGCATTTCTTGTGAACGATCATGGAGGCAGGCTCACCTGCTCCGTCCGTTGCATGGACACGTAACAGGGACGGGCTTCCCTTGTCCCCGGGTGTGCCGCTGGCACTATACACTGGTTGTGGTTGCCTATACCCCGATGGCACATCCGCGCGCATGATCAGATCAGCCAAGCATCGCCATCACAGCAGCAGGGCTAGCTAGCTGCAGGAGGTAGCTAGCCGAGAAGGAAAAAACAACGAGGAGGAGGGGTGAAGGGGGAATGGAAGGAATCGATGGAGTCGTGTCCACGCGATGACAGGACGAAGGGTTGGTCTCACCCACCGGGCTTAGCTTCCTATTCCTTCCGGTGTGCATATTATGCGTCGATATAATACGTGCATGCGTGTGTGGACAAACGCGTCGTTCAGGCGTCGTCTCTCCATCGCCTCCTGTCGGCCGTCGTCACCAGCAGAGACAGGGAGGAGGCTACCTACGTGGTGTACTTGGTAGTACACCAGCCCGCGCTCGTCGTCTTGTTCGTCGGCTGGACCTGGGGCAGCCTCCGCCACCAGGCCACCTGCCACATGCACCCTGCCTGCCTCTTCGAGCATGGGATCGGGGTTGACGACCGTGAACCTCGGCGGCGGCCTTTGATGAGGTCCCATTCGTAATTCGTTCCGGTTTGCAGGGCCAGCACCGGCACGGCAGCAAGCGTCACTGCAGTTCGTCAACCACCAAACAACCAACCACTGCTCCTCGGTCCTCTCCTCTTGTCGTCTTCCCGTCGGCCTCCCTCCCTGTCCCTGTTGACCCGGCGGCACCTTGTGGTAGACCAGCCGCCTCTGACCACCTGCCTGCCTGCCTGCCTACCGTTTTGATCTCGTCAACAACAACCTGCGTGCTTCTCCTTCCATTTTTTTTTCCCATTCAACGCTCGAGAGGTGATACTGGCGTGCCACATCATCCAGCTGGCGCTGGGCATTCACCATGGGAACAGGAATGAATTTGAATTCTCGTGTTTCGTCTCGAAGACGATCGAGTGGAATCATCAGAGCAATGGAACGGCAGAAGGAAGAATCGTGAATGTACATTCACCAAGAACAAAACGTGTGATGACAGGATCACACACCTCCCCTGTCCCTCCAAACGAAGAATGAACAAGAATGGAGAAGAATTCAAAAATATCCAACTAAGCAACGCACCCTCTGCCCCTTCCCTTTCCCGTGCTAAAAATTGCTAATCACAGCTTCGACGAATGGATGGAGGTCGCCCTTTACCGACAATGGTGGTGGCGCCGGCGGTTGCTGCAAGAATGAAATCCGAAGAATGGAATCATCCATCCTCAGTTCCTCACAGGGCTCCCGACCGGTCCATCGACGTGACGGAGGGGAGGCTAGCACTGGAGGAGCTGTTCCCGAACCCGCCACCTCCACGGCCACCGCCGCCGGCGCTTCCCTCGCATAGCGCGAACGCCGTCTCCAGGTTGGCCACGATGTCGGCCATGGCGGGTCGGTCCTTGCCCTCGAGCCGGACGCAGTGCACGGCGGTGTACGCGACCAGCTCGACGGCCTCGGCCTCGTGCGCCGCGGGCTCCGGCGCGCGCGGGTCCAGCACCTTCACGAGCTCCCCGCCCACGATGCTGGGCACGGCGTAGTCCACCACGGACACGGGGCTCCCGCCCTCGGCCTCCTTGAAGATGGCGCGCCGCCCCGTCAGCGACTCCAGCATCACCACGCCGAACCCGTACACGTCGCTCTTCACCGTCAGGTGGTGCAGCCCGTAGTACTCCGGGTCCATGTACCCCACCGTGCCGGCCGCCTTCATCACCGTCAGGTGCTGCGACTGCGACCGCGACCGCGACCTCGACCTCGTGGCGGCGGCGGCGGAGGCGGAGGCGTCGTCCTCCTCCGACGACGGCTCTAGGGGTCCCATCAGCGACAGACCGAAGTCCGACACGCGCGCCGTCCACCCGCCGTCCAGCAGGATGTTGGACGACTTGATGTCGCGGTGGATGATGGGCGGCACGGCGTACGAGTGCAGGTACTCGATGCCGCGGGACGCGTCCAGCAGGATCTTGATGCGCAGCTTCCACGACGACGCCACCGGCGACGGCGCCGCCGCCCCAGGCTTGGGATGCAGGTGGTCGTAGAGCGCGCCGTTCTTCATGTACTCGTACACCAGCAGCCGCTCCTCGTTCTCCTCGCAGTAGCCCACCAGGCCGACGAGGTGCTTGTGGTGGAGCCGGGACAGGAACGCCAGCTCCGACCGGAACGCGCTCTCCTTCTCCTGGAACCGCCGCGCGCGGGGGCCCGACTCGCAGGCGCGCTTGATGGCCACCTCCCGCCCGTCGGGGAGCTTGCCCCGGTACACGGTGCCGAAGCTGCCCTCACCGATCTTCGCCTCCAGAGCGAACTCCTTGGTGGCCGCCTCCAGCTGCGCGAACGTGAACTCCTCCGCGGTGTCCTTGAACGACGACGGCCCGCTCCGCTGCCGCGTCATCACGCGCGACAGCTGCCGCCGGAACAGGCTCCGCGCCCGCGACCCGTTCGGCGACCCGTACGGGCTCCCGCCCGTCGCACCACCCCCGCCGCCGTTGTTGTCGCCGCCCGCGCCCGCGCCGGCAGCGGTTGCGCTGAGGTTGGGCTGCACCGAGTTGTGCACCCGCTTGTTGCTGCAGAAGCCGAAGACGAGGCAGTAGACGATGGAGCAGAGCCCCGCGAAGCCACCCACCGCGCCGACGACACAGAACGCGATCCAGGCCTTGGACACGCGCCTACTCGACGGCGCAGACGGTGGAGGCGGCGAAGCGGGTGGGGGAGCAGGCGTCGAATCCTCACGGAGCGCGTTGCAGATGCCGCTGGAGCCCCCGCAATACTGCTGCGACCCCGGTATGAAGCCGCACCCGCGGCAGCAGGCGCTGACGTCGCTGACGCAGACGCCGGGGCGGATCTTCGGCAGCGGCACGGGCGCGGCATCGGCGCCCGCGGACCAGCAGTACACGCTGTAGTCGCTGGACGCGACGCCGCACGTGAAGTTGCCGCCGGCGACGAGGAACTGGAAGGAGATCCCGAGCGCCGGCTCGTACAGGGTGGTGGTGGGCCCCCGAGGCTCCAGCACACCGCGGTGTGGTTGGGCCGGCGGAGCGCGCACGCGTGGGAGTCGCCGACGGCCAGGCCGTACCCGAAGAGGTCCCTTGGCAGCGCGCCGGCGGCAGAGGCGTTCGCCGCCGCGCCGACGTCGTCCGCGCCCGAGCAGAGCGCGGCGCCGGAGGCGAGGACGGTGCATGCTCGGGAGCCCCCGCGGCGAGGTACGGCGCGGCGGTCGCGTTGGCGAGCCCCGCCTGCACCGCGCTACCCTGCGGGCCCCAGCATCGGACGGCCGCGGACGCGTTGGTCTCGACGGCGCAGGTGAAGCCGTCCCCGGAGACGAGCGAGCGGAACCCGCCGTCGGCCTGCGCGGGGAACCGGTCCCCGCCGCGCCACCATAGGACTCTCCCGGTCCCGGAGGCGGAGGTGTTGGCTTCGTAGGCCGCGACGTGGTCCCCGCCGACGGCGAGGTCGGCGAGCGGGTCGGGACCGTTGTAGAGCCGGCGGAGCTGCCCCCACTGCGGCGCGGGCGTGGACGGCCAGCAGAAGAGCGCGGCGCCACCGGCCTGCAGGCCGCACACGAAGCCTCGCCCCGCGGAGACCTCGGCGAAGGCGATGATGGACTGCGCGACGGGGTTGGAAGAGGAGTTGGAGTTGGAGGAGCCCGGGAGCAGCGCGCAGTAGACGGTGCCGTTGTACGCGTCGACGCCGCAGACGGTGGGGGAGGTGGAGGAGGACGAGACGGCGAGCGTGGACGCGGCGGAGGCGGCGGGCAAGGACAAGGCAATGGCGAGGAGGAGGGGCACGAGCAGGAGGAGGAGGGGCGGCCGCGGGGTCATTGGGTGGAGGTGGAGGAGGAGCGCGCCGCCGACATCTGCGAGGCCCGGCTGGCGTGGAGACGGGGGAGGGAGGGAGAGGGAGGAGTGCGCGGAGGAAATGGATTAAAGCGCGCGGAAAAAAGGTGGAGGGAGGGAATACGCGGCGGGTGCCGTTGAATTGAAGGACGCGGGCGCGGGGGCGACCTGGACGCCGTCTCCGCCTCCGCGTGGGTTTTTCGTCTGGTGCCGTGCTCTGCTGTGCTACGAGCCCGGTGAAGTGTGAGTCCTGTGACTTGTCCTTGTCTCTTTTTCTTTTAGCTCTGTGAGTCCGTGACTGAGAAAAGCCCAAAAGGGAACGAGCTCTGTGACGAGCAAGAAAACCGCGGGAACGGAAAGATGCCGCGAAACGGCTACTAATGGCTGGCGCCAAGCCAGCAACAGCAGGGGGTAACCTTGCTGGGCGCTGGGTGTGTTGGCACTGTCGAGGCAGGGGAATACAAGATGATGTTGTTAATTCCCGTGTGGCCAGGCCAGGTCAGGCCTGAGGACGGACGTCAGGTCGTCGGCAAACAGGAGTGTCGTGCGGGTCGCCACCGTACCCGCGCCCGTTTTTCTACGGTACGTCTCGCGCCGGGACCGTTGCACGTACGGCCGCACGGCACACGGATTGCCTGCCGCCGGAGCCCGGACAGACACAGATATGATCCATCCTCCGGCCTCCGGTGCACGGCCGCGGCCACGCCGGCGACTCGTGGCCACCCGGGCAAGTACCGCCTGCGACGTTCCTGTGCCGCTCTAAACCCCTCCTGCCCCGTGCTACGCGCGCACGGCGGCCTGTCGCCGTCGCGTCGCCTAACTACCAACCACCCTGCCACGCGTCATGCACTTTTTCTGTCTTCGTTCACTTTTTTTTAGAAGAAAAGAAAATGGAAAGAAACAAAACTAAAATTTCAAACAAAGAGATGGTAAGCCGTTGGACCCGGCATTCCGACGCATCAATCCACTGCCTTACATATCTACTAGTAAAACTGACTACTAGTATTAAACTATTAATCAACTGTCCAAATAAATACCACGTGACGCTTGTTGAACAGATCGATCGTCGCGCGTACGTTGGCATCCGGAGACCATTATTCCTGTTGGATTAACCGGGCGTGCGTGCTGCAGCAGAAGCCATAAACCGTCGTCATAAACCGTTTGACCTGTCTCTGCTGACAGCCACCACCATGCCAGCTGCGTGCATTTCCTTGCATGCATCCGGCCGCACTGCAGTGAGGAACAGGAGAGGACCGAGTGCCATGCAGCAGTGACCAGTCATACTAGCTCGTCTAAACGACGTTGGATGGCTGTGCATTAGCATGGGTCACGGAGCTCATAAATCATAAAAAATCGTTGGTCGTGACAAGTCATGGCTGTTTCTGCTTCATCCAATTTTCTTCTTCTTTTTTCCGCGCAAATGGCCGTGTCTCCAACAGATCGCTTTGACTTTGCAGTCTCGCTCTACGCTGGGCCATACAAGGACTAGTATGCCATTCTGCCAATGCATACTAGACGACTAATCGCCCTCCTAACACCGTGCTTGGACTCTTCTTCTCTCAGTACAATACTACTAGTACTAGTACGCCATAGCATGCAATGCGGATGGTTGAGGAATCTGCCGCTGGGGTGTCAACAAGTCTCTATCTAGTAGGTTGATCAAAAGTCATCCCTGGCTGCTGGGCCAGCGGTGAAAGCTACGTATCAAAGATTAGACCTGTTCTAACTAGTGTTCTGGGACACGAATACGTTGATTGACCTCTGTCAGAACAGAACTGAAATCTCCTGTATGTGATTGCGTGATCTACGTGTGGATGCATACAGACGTTGGTTGCAGCAAAAAGTATAAGGATCCCACTCCATGTCTCTTTAGGCCGGTACCACCCTATCGTTCACACTGGGGATAGATGCGGACGGTGGTGGTTGGTTGGCATCGTGCAGCTTCGCTTTCCACTGTCCTGTTTCCATCGTCCACACTACTGCTCTCAACGCAACAAAATTAAATCGGGGACAAAAAAAAACTGTTCACACTGCCTCACACTGCACAGTTGTAAAGCCAATCAGAACGGACCAATATTTTCCCCATGAATTGTAGTGGTGTGTTTTCATCAATGGGGAAAAAATATTTGCCATGCTCTCTGCGGTTTATTAATTGATTCGTGTCTCCAAGTCAGAAGGAAAAGGTCAATTTGAACGACGATGTACAGTTCATGGGGATCAGAAATATATTTGCAGCGGCAAGAGTGTCAGCAATGAGTGTGGTGCGGAAAAGAGGAGCAGGATCGAGCTGGATCTTCCACGCTCGCCCTGATTCTGATTGATTCCGATTCCTCCCTGCACGTTGCCTGTCCCTGCTTTCCTTCCCTGTCGTCTCCAAGTTTTCAATCCTGATAAGTCATGACCGAAAGTACCGTCGGTTGATTTGGTGCTATTCGTTGGCTAAAAAAGGTATAGCTTATAAGCCAAACAAGCTCAAGCGAACAGGTTGTAGATTTGCAAAGCACTGGTGGATTTGATTACGATTGATACCTGCAGCAGTACCTGTTCTTTGACCTTCTGCAGATCACCAAGAAGAACAATCTGAACAAAGCCATTTCGTTTCCTGGCACAGGTAGACACTGATATCATCACTTCAACACAGCAAAGATATTATAGACTGCACTCAACCTGTCCAATGGCTACTTAGTAGTAGCACTTTTTTCTGAACTCACTGAGAAATACTAGCTGAAACTGCACTCGAGAGAGAAAAGTACAGAAGCTGAAACAGTCTCACCGCAAGCTAATAAAAACGACCTGTCTGTCACTGCTGAATTTTGTGTCCCATTGGTTTCTGGAACATGCCGAAATTTCCGGAATCGAAGGAGCCCTGAAATTTCCGTTCCGCCTGTAATTCTTCCTGAAACTAACAGGGAGTCAAATCCTCACGTGCAAGACGGCAGTCCGTTTCACGGTTGCCTCGCGGGAAGCACCGGCGCGGGTGTCAAACTAAACGGAGGGTTCAGAGAATCAGAGGGGCGGTGAAAATTTACCTGTGCCGATGGAGGTGGACTGGAACCATAGGAATCGTCAAATCCAGGGAGAGAGAGACGCAGGCGTCGTCGTCAACTCAATGAGTTTCCATTTTCCATGCCATGTATAGGCCGCTAACGCTATCTGACGACTGACTGACCTTGTGCTTATTTATTCGGCGGCAGCATGCCATGTCTGACTCGACTCAACGAACAGGTCAAGAGTCGACTGCTTGGATTGGAACTTGACCTTGAATTTTATTTGTGTTTTTGTTTAAAAAAAATACAAAGGTTGCTTATAAGAAAGTAGCTAGAATTCCATAATACCATAACCTCTGTTCCTTGGATAGGCAAACGTTCAAGAGAGCAACTATAAGGAGCACTCTTTGACTCTTTCTGCGCCACCTCAATACAGGTTTCCAACTGCAAGGAAGGTAAACCAACATACTATCAAAGACAGTTTCAAAAAAACATACTATCAAAGACTCCATCTCTTCTCTGTCCTGTTTCTTAAGCCAAACTCGACTCACCTAGGCTACCCTGGCCCTCATGTTTTCGTATAAAGACAGATCCGAGGCTTATTAATTCCTCTATATTTTTTTTCACGACCGCGCCACTAATAGGAACGTATTTCATTAAGAGGAATTAGAGGTACATTACAAGTTACCCACTCATTGATAAGCGCCAAGCTTACCAGAGAGAAAGAGAACAAAAAACACAAGAAAGAAAGAAGAATAACTGAAACAAGAACTGAGGGCGAAAAAGACGACCTCGACTCCCTAACCAGACAACAACGCGCAAGGCCACTCAGCCTGCGCATCAAGCACCAGAACAGGTTCTATGATGATAGGGAGAGCCAAATTTGCAACAACTGATGGTTGCGTTAACTCCTTAGCGCGTCTACGGTAGGAGCCCATCAACCTCCTGGACGAAGTCATCTAGGAATGCGTCGTCCGAGAAAAGGACCTTAAAAGCCTCATGCTTGGACTCCGAAAGTGGCTCAACAAAGATGGACTCCAACTTCTATGTCTCTGCAGTGTCGATGGGCTCGGAAGCATTCGCGAGCCCCAACTTGACCATAAGAACCTTCTACAGTGTCGATGGGCTCGGAAGCATTCGCGACTCGGGTAATTCCTCTATATATCAACCTAAACTAGTACAACTAGACTAGATTTTGTTATATGCATGTGATTGGAGTCTAGAATTGATGTCTCTACTATGTATTACACTTATTTATTTTATTTCTCTTGATGTATATATATAATAAATTAGTAGCTAGTGATTTATACATTGGTTATCGCAAGCCAAATCGCAAGCTAAACGAGTCGAGCCGAGCTAGAGTTTTAGCTCGTTTACTAAACAAGCCGAGGTGAGCCAACTTGTTATCATAATGAGCTATAACTTGAGATGGCTCATTATCCAATCCTATCGTCTTCTCAAGGCCTTATCTAGTCAGCACACCTATCTTCCATGGTGGTGTCGAACCTTGAAAAGCCATTGTTTCCCATGCACCCCATACGACCAACAAGCACATGGCATGGCTGCCATCAATGACCCGTGTGTAGGATCGAGATGGCCAACTAAATGGAGGTGAACATTCATTTCTACATGTTAATTGTGAAGGCTAGCTGATTTAAATGCGGAATTAAATTAACGGTCTAGCACTGACTACAGCCCTCTAATTAAGTTTACAAGAACCCTAAAAAGATGCTAATTAAGGTAGCAACTAGGGTGCCAAGCTAGTGTGAGCTCACCTAAAAAGTGTAGTTAGCATGCTCAAACAACTTAAGCAACTAGAGTACAAGCAAGCACAAGGAGGATCCTACACATACTAGTGAGAAAAGGTAAACAACTAGCTACTAGCTACACACTAGCACAAGAGCAATGATACTAGCACAAGATAAAACAATTAATGAGCTAGTAGTGTAAACCACACCTGAGACAAAGGATGACACGATGATTTTTTCCTAAGGTACG